ATTTGTACCTGAGCTTGGTCAGGCACTTGAGACTAATGAGATCAGAAGAACTCCCAGTATCAATAAGAATGCGGCCGACTTTTTGGTTGGCCACTTTGCATTCGATAACCACGGGGTCATCATGTGGTCTTTTGACCCATCCTCGGTCCTCTTCAGTAATTATGACTTCGGGGAAGGGGTCCTTGGACGACTGTCCCTCGTCTACTGAATTAATATCGAGGCCCCGGATGTAGTCCTTGTTACCCCGAATGGTCGGGCCGCCTCCTGCAAAACCGCGTGCTATTGTATAGATCGGGGTTTCATCCGTATCCGAACTGTTAGCAGAGCTGGACTTCTTCTTAGGGGGCTGACCAGCGTTTTATGTAGGGTAACCTTGGACCTCAGAACATAAGACTTTAATACCCCCTTATCGGCCAAGCGATCCAACAAACGCTTGAGACTATATCATTCATTGGTATCATGACCGATATCCTCATGAAAGTGGCAATATTTATTCTTGTGCCGATTTTTTGCAGAACCTTTCATAGGAGTCGGCTTATCAATGGAGACCCGGTCCTTTATCTCCATGAGGATGGAGTAGCAGTCCTTATTATATTCGTACTTTGGGGAGTACGTCTTCCCTTCTTTCTGTTTCTTCTGGGATGGTTGTTCAGAAGTCTCAACCACCCAGACTTGCTTTCTTTTCTTTCCTTCTGTTTTAGCCGGCTACTGAGGCCGACTCTCTTTCTTGTCGAACCTCTTTGAGTCCGACTGATTTCCGACATTGCAGAGCTCGGTCGCCTATATATAGGCGTCCGCCTCCATCAATGCCTCTTGGAGGGTAGCAACCCTCTTTCTGACGAGGTCGAACTTGAAGGCCGAACCACTGCTGGGCGACACCCTTCAATGTGGCCGGGAAGCATTTACACCAAGTGGCGTCGTCCAACCCTTGTAGATACATAAGGTTGATATAAGCCATTAGGTGGTCCTCAGGATTGGTGGTACCGTCATAGGTGCCTACCAATACATTTTTTACCTTGCCCGACTATGCGGACTAAGGAAAGCCGTAGGCTATTCCCCAAGTCTTTGCAGCCGAACCTGCCAGTCTAGAGGCTGGACTATAGGTGCCGCCTGTCCCCCAAAAAGGGTAGGCTGCACGTAAAACTTTCGATACGGCCCGTATGGCTGTTGAGGCACATACGGGGCCGCCTGGTACATTTGAGGAGTAGACTGGGCGGACATGCCGCCTGTCTGACCCCCCTGGGGTAGATTAAAATACCTCATTGAGGTATTCTGAAAACTATCATTAAAGTTTTCCGTGGAGGCCGACTCTGATAGTTGCATATTCTTCTTTTGCTGGATTATCATCCGAGCATCGGAATTTGTTTTCTTGGAACCATCCAGCTGAATATGTCGGATGGCTTTTCTGTTTCCTGTCGCAGGAAATTTTAAGTCCGACCAAGATTGTCGAGGGCTTTGGCCCTACCCTTGGCTTAGGGTAAGGAGTGGGCTCTCGGTCCTTGACTGGCTTGCTTCTCCCGGAATGAGAGGTCTTCTTGGCCGACTGTTCCTTGGTAGAAACAGCCATCCGCTCAGCAATGAGATCCTTGATCTCCCCTTTGAAACTTGCCATGAGATTCATGAGCTCGTTCCTGGTGATAGGGGTGGATCCCTCGGCCTCCTGGGAAACAGTCGGTGGACCGGCTGTTTCACTGGGCCTTGCCTGGCTGACGGTCCATTCCTTCCTTTCGGTGGGGCGGACGCGCCGAGTCCTTAGGGTCCCGTCAGGTGCCGTGTGAGTGACGACTTCATAGTCGTCATCTGTGTCCTGGTCTGAGGTGACCTGGACGTCGGCCATGGGCCGCTTTTCACTTAGACTCGGTACAGGTTCTTGTGAAGCCATCTCAAATGTACTCTCCCCACAGACGGCGCCAAATGTTTCGGGGTTTTTTTGATGTCCTGCGGGAGAGTTACAAATCCAAGACTGACCTCTGGACACCTATACCTGCAAAATAACGGAGACTCCTGTTGGTGGGAGCTCCGCCTCCAACGATCAAGTTAGAACATGTATGAGGAGTTTAAGTGCGGAAAGTAAAGTCTCTCTTGGGGTCCAAGAGAGGATCTGCAATGTGAATTGCTCAGTTTTGGGGTGTCAAGTGACTGACTAGTTCTCTGCTTTGAGAGTAAGAGTAGGTGTGAGAGTCAATCAGGGTTGATCTAAAGCTCTCTGAATGTGTTTAGATATTTATGAATAGATATTTCCTTGGTGGGAAACACCTTATTTATAGTCTAGAAGACTGTGCCCAATACTAGGTTTCTGGAAAACCTAGGCCTGATTGGGCTTCCCTGGGAAACTGGGCCGCTGTAGACTGCTTTTCCTGACAGGCCTTTCTGCCTGCCACGTGTCGTGGCCTGATAGGTCCTCTTTGGACCTATCACGAGGTGACACGTGGCGGACTCTGATTGGTCCACGTGGAGGCCACATGGCAGCGCATGATTGGTCCACGTGGCGGGGAAAAATCCCCTAATCATTTTCCCCTCACCGATTTAGGGTGGGTTCAATCCTTTTAAGTTGGATTTGTACCATTATCCCCGAATATCCAGTTATGGTTCCGGACCACTATGGAGTTAGCGATCTCTGTGATCGTGAATGGGGTGTAACCTTCACCTTCACACCCGTGAACGGTTTACAAGTTTTTAAAACTTGTTGGCGACTCTTTTATCTCTAGCTTTCTTTCCTTTGGACGCCAACATGCTTAAATGCATGATCACAGTGGGGCTTAAAGTTGATGTTTGAAATATTCCTTACACTTATTAAGTGTCAAATTTGTTTAAACATAGTAACTTTGTTTGTGAATTCTATATTAATAAAATATATCATCGAGTCGAGTTAGAGCTTGCTCAACTCATACTCATTAATATCTCTAATCGAGTCGTATTCGAGTCAAGCTAACTTGAGCTGAATTTTGACTGAGTCAAATTTAAATTACTGGTGAGCTACTCAACTCAATTATCACCCCTAATTGTGTCAAAGCCAAGAGTCTAGATTCGATAAAGGTGGACGAAAATGACACAGGTATGCATTATATAGTTAAATATATTTATAAATAAAGAGACAGGTATGCATTATATATTTATATTAGTACAATACAATATCTACGGATCGCTAAGATGCCGCTAGGTTTCTGTGTGGAATCAATCTCACTGTCTAGAAAATCAGTCCAGTACAGGTATTGATCAATGAGCCTTAGGTTATAATATATTAAGAAAAATATTATTATTATTCACATGAATAATGCTGGTCGGTATATATTGACATCATTCAAAACCCAAAATGATTTAACTAATTCTTCATCTAACAGTACACCTAATTTAATCATGCAAATATGTATCCTGCATAATGTATATTGTATATTTAAGCCAACTTAGGTTAAGATGAAGGGATCATTAATTAGTCATTTACGACATATTTGGATTGAGGGTAATATATTAAGGGGGTAATAAAAGTTAAATTTGAAACAACATAAGTAATTAGAAATGTTGTTGTAGGAGACAATGTGTTTATAAATAAAATAAGATAGTTGTGTCATGAGGAAAAGAGAGATATGGAGGAATTATTATCCTCATAATGAGAGTAATAGTTTCCCATCCTCCCCCTAGTGTAACTATTACCCTCAAAATGAGGGTATTAGTTCCTCTTTCTTCACCTCATACCACACCATCACTACATAATTTTCCTTACAATCACACCATCACTATCTCCTCCTTCCCTATATTCACTTTCATTTTGCTTAATTTGACTTTTATTACCCTAGTAATACATCTCTCTCAATCCAAGCATGCCCTTAGTGTATATTTTGTTCATGTTATATATTCTAAAATATTATTTAGAAAAAAAAAAGTTTGGATAACTTAATACTTTGTATAAGTTCAAGAAAAACTCAATAACATTATATAGAATTGAATGCATGTATCATTTACTAAAAATAATGGGGATTGAAAGAAAATAGTTTTTTATTTCTTTAATATAAAAAAAAAGCTCTTAATTTCTGAAAAATATACTATAAAGTTTTCGGTTTTATTTCAACATAAATGAAGACATAAGTACATATATAGTGCTATACTTTTTATTTATTTTATTATTATTATATGAGCAAAAATAATGAATATTTAATTGAATTTATGAAAAAATTGAAATGATAATGTTTTATTTTACATGTTAGTAATTTAATAAGAAAAAAAATATAAATATGAAGAACTTTTTTTTTTGAATGGTAAATATGAAGAACTTGATGAAGTTCAACATTGTAATATATATATATATATATATATATATATATATGTGTGTGGATTTGCTAGAATGGATTTGCTACTTAAAAATTGTCACGTGTTCCATATAAAGTACAAAGTATATAAGAAAGGAATATTTGTTTTTTAAAAATTAGGAAGTGGGACATGCGTCAAATTTTAAGTAGTTTTCTTATTCTCATTCTAGCAAATTAAAGGACCTTACTGAACCGACAACTCTCACAGGTTAACTCAACCCAGGTCCGCAGGTCAACGCTTGAGAGAAAAGGGGGGGGGGGGAGGTAAGAAATCCCCCTACTCCCAAGCAAATGTAATTGGTGAGGTTCGAACTTGTGACTTCAAAGCCACAAGGTGAGTTCCCCTAGCTATCAACTCCACCAAACTTTGCTTGGTTCTTTTAAGGGTATATATACAACTAGCTAGGATAAAAGGAGTATTTAGTGTAATATACTCCCTTTGTCCCTATTTTTTTGTCCATTTGACTTTTTACGATTTTCAAAACGCGTGTTAAATTGTATAAAACTCAAATTCTATACACGTAAAAATTATAAAAACTTGTTAATAAAACTCCACATGACTATATTATCTCTAATGGATTAACAGAAATTTAAGATCAAAATTGTCATGTCAAATTTTAACCAATATTAACAATGCGTATGCGACAAAAAAAAAGTAAGGGCTTGGGGATTAGGTAGTAAATGCTTCATTCAAAGTCAACACGTGAACAGAATATTGATTGATGGGAAGGAGATTTCTTGAGAAGCCACCCTTTTGATATCGTCATATCTCCATACCAATTATTGTTCAATTACTATTAATGAAAAAAAAGATCATTTATTATGTGGATCCCGTATCGCGTTATTTGCTAATAAAAAAATGGAAGAAATAAACACATGAATTTGGAAACTTCCCTCTATATAAGTAACGAAACTCTAAACACTGAAAACTCAACAGCACTACTTTTCAATCTCTCAAATGCTTCGTTCTCTTTAATTTGTCAAGCTTGAATTGGTAAGAAGAAGTAACAATGTCGTCGATCATGACTATGGATGCGTGGTTAGCCGAGTTGGTAAATACTCTAATCACTATTCCATTATTAATTACATACGACTTCTATTAGTTACTTCGTGTGTTGCTCTTTTGTTTAGCGTTATTTGAAATTTTGTCTTCCTTACTATTATGCGAAATCATTTTTATATCCTCGTAAAAAAATTTAAGTGATATATACAAGGTTGTAACCTTGTATTAGTTTTTTTTTTATTATTTTTTTTTAATTTGGTTAATTTTGTACTCCGTAATGAATGACAATATCATGAGTATATCGATGTAATGAATGTTATACTTTGTATTTAATACTTTGTATATAGTTTCCACTTTTAACTCCTTATCAACTGTTTGTATCATTTTTATTTTAAAATCTTACTCCTACTAAATTACTAAAATAAATATTAATAACACTTATTATTCCGTTATTATACATACATTCTTAATTAATAAGAGTATTATTTTAAAAAATATTTTAAGCAATTATCTAACGTCATAGGTCGTTTATTAGTAAAATTATTGAAAAGATGGCCGAAACCAGCACATTTAATCCTCATTATTTCCCAATGCACCATCATGAAGTGATATGGAGTATTTTTTAATTTTTATAAGATGCATTAAATTTTATTTCAACTGTTTGTGCATTTCAAGGTGAACTCTATCAACTTATAAAATTTAGAGCTAGTATTAAATGTCATAGTAACGATATACGTGCCCTTTGACACTTTTGGCATCATCAACACTGTAATAATATTTCTAAGTTATTCCGTACTTGGCTACTTGGAGTAATATAGCAATGTGTTATGTAAATTGTAATTTGTTGCATTATTTATTTGATGTAGGAAATGGAAATGGATACAATTCCTAGTTTAATCAACCACCCTAGTCACCAAAGTGGTACAATGGAAGCAGCTTTCGACGAACAGCTCGTAGCTACACTTGCCGACGATTTCCCTTATAATCTATATGATACGAGCGAAGCAACCTCTCCTCAAGGAGATTTCGAGTGTAACAATGTCATTGAACAATTTATATCAACTCCTCCTATTTCCGAAACTAGTGAAAACAACACCGATAACAATAACAATAATGACAAAAATGATAGCGATAATATTGTAAGCTCCGATGTTCAAGAGAGCCAACCGTCCAAAACTAAGGAAGAGACGAAGAAGAAGCAAGGAGTGAGTAGGGCTGGTGCAAAGAGGAAACGACAGCCAAGTCAAGTGCAAGATCACATTCTCGCCGAGAGGAAACGTCGTGAATTACTTAGCCAGTTGTTCATTTCGCTCTCTGCGATTGTTCCCGGCCTCAAGAAGGTGCACAAATTCATTTTCCCACCTTATATATTGTGATTTTTAATTAAGGGGTTTTTTTTTTTTTTTTTTTTTTTTTGGTAGAAACGATTTGATTAGTGAAAGTTAATTTCATGGAACACAATAAATATGATCCTAGAGATCTAAACTATTTGTTGTAATAATTTGTATACAGGTAGACAAAACATCGGTCTTAGGAGAGGCAATCAAACATATGAAGGAGCTTCAAGAGAAAGTAAAGGTACTTGAAAGTGTGATAGCAAAGCGTACCATGGAGTCCGTCGTCGCAGTTGTCAAAAAATCAAAATTGATAATCGACAATGGCAGTAGTGATGATAACGTTTCTTCATCGACTGTGGATGACCATTGTGGAAGTGGCAGCAACGATGATGGTGATAGTAGTGGTGATTCACTTCCGGAAGTTGAAGTAAAGATATTGGGGAAGTCCCTTCTCTTAAGAGTGTACTGTGGACAACAAAAGGATATTTTGGTAAAATTATTCGCAGAGATAGACAAGCATCATTTGAGCATTACTAATTTTAGTGTGATACCATTTGAGAATCTAGCCCAAGACATCACCATTGTTGCACAGGTCATGATTCCTCAGCTCCCTTCCACGTCTTAACATCCTTTCATTCAGTTTTTACTTTGAAACTAGTTCTGTTTCATAATGTTCTTAACATACCATTTATTTGCATAACAATTATGAAAAATAAGAGATCGACTGTGTGCAACAAAGTGGCAACTGTAAAAGCAAGAGACCATTAATTATAATTAAAAAGGAATAAAGTAAAAGTGTTAAGAACATTAATTATAAATCAGGCTATAATGGAAAGGTTTTAAAACATTCTGGAACAAAATAAAACAGATAGTGTGAGGAATATTATGAAATGAAACAAGATTATTACTAGTTATTGCACTTACTTCTCTTGAACTTGAGAAAGTGATTTTGTAATACTTTGAAATACAACTAACAAATATTTTCTTACATTTAATTTTGCAGATGGAAAGGGGCTTCAACAAGAATGTAAAAGATTTTGTTAGAACTCTACACAACGCCCTTCATTTAGCTAGCTACCACCGTTTTGATTTTAACGAAAATGAATATTCCTCATAGTTCAGTTTGTACTCGTTCTTTGGATTTTCAATCTAGATTAAAGTTAGGGAATAATTTTTGGTTTTTCTTTCCTTTTATCATATTACCTTTAATGATGAATAATAGGAATCATATGCAGGACCACATGCGACTGCATACAATAAGTTATATTAAACATTTCTATTTTTGGCAAGTCCATATATGTTAAATTATATGACGATAAATTTAAGTAATTGAATCTTTTCATTTCAAAATTTATCAGTTTATTCATGAAAACCAGCCTAGCTATTTGCCGCTGATTCCTGAATACCTCCCTCCATTATTTTCTTCATCCCTTTTTCTATTACTACGTATTGTCTAGCTAAGTATCGAGCTATGTTAAATTACTAGGATTGTGAGTGCATATATATCACAAGCTATGAAGTAGAAATTGAGAAGAGTAATTATATATGAGAATGAGTTCAAAAATCTTAAAATGAGATGAACATTTAATATGAGAAAAATCCTCAACGAGAGGCGAAAATACCCAAGAACAACTAACAACTGAGCAGTGAGTAGTGAGCCCTTAAATTTCAGGTTTGAATATTACGTTTCTCATGTAAAACGTTTTTATAATTTTTATTAATATTCAATTATTTATATTTAGTGTCAAAATATTGCATTAGCAATCAAATTTGACTGTATTAATTTAATTATTGTCGTGTTAATCTTATATTTTCGAAATGTCAAATTCTTATATTTTTTCAAAAAGTTATTTTGTTATTTAGTGTGAAAGTCAAAAAAGAAAGTATTGGGTGCAGACTGCCGCACACAAATTTGATGCGGACGGCTTGGCTAATATATTTAACTTGTTGGCTGAAATATTTCATTTGTTGGCTGATATGGTTTTTGTGTTGGCTAATATATTCTTTTTGTTTGCTGATTTTTTTTTTTTAATTTTTGATAGGTTCCTTTTGTTGACTGATATCAGACATTATTTGGCTTATATGTTTCTTTAGTTGACTGATATATTTATTTTATTGGTTGATGTGTATATTTTAATTGTTGGCTTATATGTTTCATTTTGTTGGCTGATATGTTTATTTTGTTAGCTTATCTGTTGCTTTTGTTTGCTGATTTCATCCTTTTGTTGGCTGATATATTCCTTCTTTTGGCTGATAAGTACCTTTTGTTGGCTAATATACTCCTCTTGTTGGCTGATATGTATCTTTTGTTAACTGATACGTTTTTATTAATGTTTTCAATGCTGACTGATACGAAATATCAATTGGATGATATATTACTTGTATTAGCTGATGTGCAAAGTATATACAAGTACAAAGTGTTTTTATTTCATTCTCTCTCCTCTTTCCCCCTCTTCTTCTCTTTCTTTCTCTCTCCTGTTAGCAGATTCACAATCACGCCACCCCTCACTCCCTCTCCTTCTCCTTCTCCTTCGTTCCTCACTTCCCTTTCCTCCTCAAATCAGTCCGGCCACCGATCCTCGCCACGCCGTTTCGCCGCCGCCGTTCACCGAACCCAAGGCCACCGCACCCACAAACCACCAAACCCAGGCCACCGCACCCACCACTAGCGAATCACACCACCACCAGCGATCTCCACCAGCGAATCGCACCTCCGCAACCACCTCCACCAGCGAATCGCACCTCCCCTACAATCTTGAATCAGAGGACGCTCGCCGTCGCCGGAGAATTTATTCTTCATCTCCTTCGTCGTCGTCCTCGCCTCTAACAAGTATTAATTCTCTCTATTTTTTTTCTTTTTTTAAAATTAGTTTGGTTTTGAGTAATGTGGAATTTGAATTGGATTGAGTTGAATTTGAGTAGATTGAGTTGAGTTGATTGAATGCAGTTCAATTTGATTGAATAGGATTTTGTAGTTGGTGAAATTTGGAAGAATGTGAGTTGCCGCACGAACTATTAGGTGTGGACGTCCGCACCCAATAGTTTGTGAAGTCAAAATTATGCATATATTTTTCGTAAAAAAAATTAAAAATTATGCATATATATATATATATATATATATATATATATATATATATATATATATATATATATATATATATTACTGTAAAACGTGAAAGTATTTTTTGCCTAATTGTCACAGCAAATGGCCTACTTTTTTTAGTTGTCACCCCACGTAGTGTTGAAATTATAAAATAAAGAGATGAGAGAGAGAAAAGAACACTTTTATACATTCAATCCGTTTAATAAAGAGATTACAACTAGCTTTGAATAGAGATTGCAAGTTAACTGAATATAAAACAACAATGCTAAACTTAAGGGCCATATTGCCCATATCCCACGATTCATGCTGGAAAATGTTTGGATGATTCTAAGGGTTGCCAACCCTCCTAGACACAATAGAATAAAATAATAATATATGTGCAATAAATTAGAAAGAGATTAGCGTAATATTATTGTTTCAATGAATGCTTGACCAATGAAAAATCGGTTGGCAACCCTTTGGGTTAGCTGAATCATAATTTACCACTAACAAAATAATTGCTTTATTATAGAAACTAACTAATTAATTATTTGACCACTAACAAGCATGACTATGAATCACTGGAAATTAGAAATCATAATTTGAAGTCCAACAGGTAGCATATGTGCTTACATTAATTAATTGTCAACCCAGGAAGCATATATACTTATATAGTTATATGAGTATAAGATACTCCGTATTATTTAGTCGTAATCAAAATAGCCACAACACATTTACTTTCACGATAATGCCAAACGAGACCATATGTGCTTGAAATCAATTATGTATAACTGTATAAGTCATCTATTCAACTAAATAAACTACGATATACTCTTCGCAATACTTTTTCTATGTACCATAATATTCTTTTATGGAGTATTTATTTAAGTAAGGAAAGAAAATTTATGCAACACTATTAACTTCATAGTACTTAACGAAAATACAAATCTCAGGCACTTTACAATAAGAGCTACATTGGATATATATAAGGCATGTTCGGCAATAGTTTTTGATTAGTTTTTAAGTAGCTTTTAGTGGTTTGACTTATTCAAATCGTTACTTAGTAAAAAATATGAGTGTTTAAAAACGTAGTGGTGGGAGTAGAATTTAGTGGTTAAAGTAGCTTTTGTGAAAAATTAATATTATTAGTTTTTATAAAAAGCTAAGTAGCTGTTGGAATTTTTTTTTCTATATATTTAGAATCTTACAGCTAATAGCTAGTCAACAGCTACTTTACCAAACACTCATACTTAGTTATTTATTTTCACAACTAACAGTTACACATACAACTAACAACTATTATCACATTTAACAGTAGCTACCTCTACGACTACATTTTGCCGGCACGCATAATAAGAAATCTAATAGAGTTACAAATTCAAAAAATATTAATACTTGTAACAGCTTTTTTTTGGTTTTTTTATGAAAGCACTCCTTGTAAGAGCTTCAATCTCCTATTAATTCATTCTTACTAGTTACTAGAATTAGTTAGGAGTTTCCCTTAAAAAGAGGGTCTGCTAATATATTTTCTTCTTAACTAGAGTATATAAAAATCAGCTAAGAAAATAAAATTGTTGATCAACATCTAGAGAATATACTCGTATATACTACTTCCTCTATTCTTTTTTTACTTGACCTGTTTCTTTTATCACGCTTGCTAATACAAAATTTTAATGGTCAATAACTTTAATTCTCCATAAATAGAAATTATAAAAGTTATATATTATAATAGTACTAATTGAGACGAATTCAAAAGATCCCACGTGAATATGTTTTTCCTTACCTATTATTGACAAAAAACGGTCAAAAGAAGTGGTGGTGAATAGTGTAAAGTCAAAACTGGTCAATTAAAAAAAACGGAGTTAGTATTACATAAGTATATAGTAATTTTTTTTTTAGGTAAGGAGAAGAGCCCTACTGGGCCGAAACCTCTCCCAGGTCCAACCTGACCCGGATTAGCGGGCTAGACAATTTGGAAGTAGGGGGAAGGGTAAGGGAATCCCCACCCCAAATTGCCTGTAGTAGGGTTTGATCCCACAATCTTTTGATTATAAGATGACAAACCTTACCACTAGACCAATCTTAGCTTGGTACACAAATATACAGCAGTAGATTGATAGTACTCTAAAGTATAATATAATATATACTCGTATATACTATAACATAAGTTTATTAATTATTATTATTATTATATACACGTGAATATTGCTGGCCGGGACTGAATGTCGCTGAAATGGTTGAATTCTAAAATTTTAGATCAGCTAAACAAGAAGGTGAGTTAGCATTTTATATGAACTTTAATTGATTACGTCAGTTGAATATTTAAGTGAAGGCAAATAATATGGAGTAACTGCTCATATTGGACTCCTAAATAACTTCATTATAGCTTTCTTAAAAGGGAAGGATTAGATTTTGTTTATATACATAAGCTTTAATATAATTTCTTTACCTTTCCCGTCAAAAAAAAAATACATATGGAGTATATCTAAGTTTAATAAAATTAGTGAATTTAAAAAGAAATATAATAGAGAATCATAAAAAATAATTTAAATTTTATAAATTTAATTTATATTTAGCAAAAATAAAGTGAAGAAAATAGAGTCTTATTCTCTAAAAGTATACTATTGAGTATTTTTTTTATTTTTTTTGTCTTCTTCATAGTTAAAATGAGACATCATTCTGACTAACTATTTCAAAGTATACTTTTCATTTCCAAATTAGGTAATACTTTTTTGTTCTGTTTTACTTGCAACATGCTCACATTTTACGAAATGAAGGGAAGTATTATGTAAGAATATATAGTATCCTTTCAAAAAAAAAATAAAAAATAAAATAAAAAATAATAATTGAAGTATATAGTATTAGGTTGATAGTACTATATTGTGTCCAAATTTAATGTATTGGTTGCAACCTTTCTAGTGAGCCGAGCCCAATCATGTAAAAATAATACACCCTCCTTTGATGTAGTGTTAGCCCAAAAAAATATACAAATTCTAAAATAGACCTGATTGTAGACCAACTGCCTTTGTCATGTATTCTCACGTGAGCTTCCCTTTAGACAAGCCAATTTATTTTCACAAAATTTTTGGAATATAGTTATCCTCAGGTCTACCATTTTCTCTCTCTTCCCAACTGCAATACTCTCTCAACACTTTCAAGCTCTCTGATCTTCTTCTTCAATGGTGAAAATTATACGCGATGTGGTGTTTCACAAAATCGTGGTAAATCCTCTTATTTCAACTTGATTTTTGAACTTTCTAAGCTTATTATGATTTTGTTCTTCTTGAATTGAAGCTCTTTTAAGCTTATTAATCGACGTTTTTCTTGAATTGAAGCTTTCTTAGAGGGTTTTTTTTTTCTTCGATCTTGTTTAGTTTTAAGGATCTAGGGTTTCAATTTGTTCAATTCATGTTTGTTATGATTTCGTATCATTATTTTTGCTCTCGTATTTTGTTTAGAGTATTATAGATCTTCGATATCAATCTGAATATTATGCTCAATTTTTGCTATTGACGAGGTGGAGGTTAAGAATTTTGCTGCTGCTTTTGTCTGTTGGATTGGTTGAATGGAGGGAGGGAGGTGCGTATGGTGTTGTTTTTTAAGGGGTTTGTGGTGTATGATAAGATTGGGCAAGCTGACTTGTTTGTTGGTGCTGCTCTGTTGCTTACCACGGAAGTGCTCTGTTGCTTATTATGACTTTGATGAAGAGTTTTAAAAGTTGTAAATGATCATGTAATTCTTTGTATTGTATAATGTGTTATTGTGTTGTATTTATACAATAAAGCATAAAAAAAAAGGTAATTAATGATGGTGTTAGCTAGGTTGATTTACTCTATTCAATTTCTTCTAAATTTGGATTATTGATGTATTTTGGATTATTTATGAAATCAAAATAACTACAAATTGATTTTAAGCTATTTAGATATGATAAGTGACGATGGTGTTAGCTAGGTTGATTTACTCTATTCAATTTCTTCTAAATTTGATTTAATTAGTTGTAGTATTTGCTTTTTTTTTTTTATTTTAATACTCGTATGAGTTTTATCATGTAATCACGTTATATCTCGTCTTTTGGAAAATAGTGAAAATTGTTTTATAATGGTAAAGCCTACTAGCTCAATTGGTAGAGCAGTGTGCAAATGCACAATGATGTAGGTTCAAATCCTACATAGGTTATGTAAAGATAAAAACATTGTATATGGACTGAGAAGTATAAAACGGGCTGCTTGTGTTGTTGCTTGCACGTGAGACCATAAAGTCCACAATAATTTTATTGTGGACTAGGTCCACACAAGATCTTTTGAAAAAAAAATAATTCCCACAAGGATTGTCATAAAGAAACCCAATTCAGCACTTAGGCCATATCAGATTTAATGATGGATGTATCCCAAAACAGATTTAACATGTCTTCATAGCAATAAATCTTACCGCATCCTATAAAATAAACATTTATTAAAAAAAATATGAAAATGTAAAAAAATGAACATTTAGTGATAAAAAATAAACACGTAAAAAAAATAAACATTTAAAGTATTAAAAATGAACATGATTATCATATAGTCATAAAATTGTTGGACCACAACCTAAAAAATGAACATTTATTAAAAAAAATATATATATTTTGAACACGTAAAAAAAAAATGGACATTTAGTAATAAAAAATGAACTTGTAAAAAAAATAAACATGTAGTAATAACTAGTGAACACGAAAATGTATATGAATATTTAGTATATTAAAAATGAACATTTATCAGACAATCATAGAAAAGTGTACTATACCTAATAAAATGAATATTTCATAAAAATATATGAACATTTAGTATATAAAAATAAACTCGTAAAAAAAATGAACACGTTAAAAAATATTATAAACTTTTAGTATATTAAAACGAACATGATTTTCATATATTCATATAGGTTCAAATTCATTGTATATATTTATTAACAAAAAATAAAGATAAAATTAGTTGTTAAAATATGTTTATTTTTATTTACTAAATGTTCATTTTTAGTGTAGTAAATTTCATTTTGTACCGAATGTTCAATTTTAAAGTACTACGTGTTCTTTTTTTTTTTCAACAGAAATTATGCACAAGTTCGATTGTAATTATTTTAACTCCAAAAATTTGAATATCCACCTTAACTCTAATCTTAGTTCATCATAGAGACAATAATTGTTGATCTATAACATGATATATTAAGAATCACAAATGCAAAATTGGTAGAAATCAACAATGTTATAACATGCACATATTTAAAAAAAAAAAAAAAAAAACCAAAAAACTCAAAATCACCTCACGGTTCACGATCGCAACGAAGATGATGACGATGGAGAATTCTACAATGGTGACGAAATGGAGAATATCCAAAGTAGAAGGACAAAGAAGTTTAAAGATTGATGGAAAGTGAGGTAAGAAAGAAAATTAACTTATAATGAAAAGAAAAAAAGAGGAGAGAGAAAATTTTGAATTGAGAAGAAAACAAAAGAGAGGAAAAATAAATATATGTAAGAAAGAAGAAGTGAGTGAGTTAAGATATAAAAAAGGGAACAAAAAACATATGTTCATTTTTGAAGTACTATGTGTTCATATGACTGATGCAACTAACTAATCTGCACAAGTGTGTAGCTCAAAATTCGTGTCTTCATAGTCCAATTAAATGAAAGCGCAACATAAGATAATAGATTAAGTTATACTTCCTTACACTATTGTCTTATACATGTAATACGTGAACACGCTCCTTGAAGGCACGTAATTTTAAGAGATGATCTCAACTTATAGAATTATTGAGTCTTCACCCAACTCCACCTTTTTTTTTTTTTTTTTTTTTTTGACGCAATTAACTACTCACTAATCTTATTATCCATCTTCATCAACATCTTTAACATGATTAGTTTTACTTGAAGAAGCCGGTATTGCATCAAAAGAATATATATTACGAGTACTAAACAAAAGATTATTAGCGTACATTCAAATGAATCAATCAAAGCAATTAGATTAAAAGTTTAAGAGATTATTTAGCCTAAACTAAGATTGAATCAGACCAAGAAAACTAATCAATTAGAAATCTATAAAAATAAGAATAGAGTAGAAAAAGAGATTACTAAGAGCTTCAATTAGAAACCCAATCAAACTCTTTCGGCACTTTTCATGGCCTCTCCTACCCTAAGTCTGGAAGTGCAAACCATGCAAGGTTACTCGCTAGCTGCTGGTAATACTACTTTCGTCAAATCTACTATCACGTAATCATGTTTCAAGTGTGTCCAAAATCTACTGTAATGCTACTAATTCTTCTTCACTAACAATAATTCCAACGATCCAGCCTAACAAATTAAATAGATGAAGAGTTATTTGTTCATCAACATTGCCAACAACAAATACATGAAGCGTGTTCCTTTAATTTGTTATATACACTCCCTTCGTTTTTTTAATAATTTTTCCTTTCTCTTGAGCATATATGTCAATGCAAATTTTTTACCAATAATATCATTAATTATTAATAATTACTTATTATAATAATTGAAAATTAATAATTTATTCATTGAAACGATTCTAACAAATATTCATAAGACTATATTTTTTTTTCTTATATATTAGTCAAAATAGGTCAAGTAATAATGCAAAATGTACTAATAAAACATTTATTAAAAAACCGGAGGAAGTAATTAACTATCAAGGTCTCCATTAACTTATTTATACTATCTTTGTTTTTTTTTAATTGCAACAAAAAGGTATTACTTATAAGACATTAAAAATTCCTTTGTTACAACTAAAAGATACGAGATACATAAAAACCATAGCAACAACTTACTCTATCGATCTAATAAACAAAACACCATAGGAACATAGGAACAACTCTGATCCGTAAATATTGAAAAAATTAAAAATGTAAGAGTTGACCACGTACACACTCCAACATACTTCGTATTCAGTATGGTTATTTTTTTTTGTTTGTTAGTAAGTAGGATGGCCCTATCGGATTGGAACTTCTAACACGTTCTCCCGATTCGAAATAGTGAGTTAGGCACTTTGAGAATGGGGGAAGGATAAGGGAATCCCCACCCCCAAAGTGCCTCTAATGAAATTTGTATCTCATAAATCACAACTTAAATACAAACTTACCCACTAAACTAAGCTTCGGTATTCCGTATGGTCAACTACATCAATACATTTCTTTAATAAAATATCTCATCAACTCAAAAGGGAAAACAAAATAGTAAAACACATCAAAAAATTTAAAAAAAAAGAAAAGAAAATTGCCCTTGCGTTGCACGGGGTGACAAAAGAGCCGCGTGAGAGTGCACGAGGTAGGATGACATGCTACAGTAAAAACTTGGCATTCTGATTTGTTCTGATCAGTTTTACTTGTCACCTTACTAATTTATACAGTAGTATCTGTCGATAATTAAAAACAAACCAAAAAAATAAAATCACAACACCGAAAAGTTTCATAATAATTAGCTAAGTTCTAAATCTTTAAATCATCTAGCGTTGCATACTTGCATCTCTATCTCTAAGTACATAACTACTTGTACATAAGTAACTGTGTAAAGCTACACTAAGAATTTTTTTTTTCCTTCTTTTTCTTTTTTTTTTTTAATTTATTAATAAGGTTTAATTTTGGAACTTTATTTTTGTTCGAATCTAAGGCCTTATTCTGCGGTATTATTTGAGGTATTAGTTATTAAAGTCCCGTTCACTTCACCTTATTTTTTCTAAACTTAAATTATTTTTACTGAACTAAAATTATTTTTGTTGAACTTAAATTATATTTACTAAAGTGAAATTATTTTTGCTAAACATACTGAATTTTACTGAACTGAAATTATTTTTGCTGAACTGAACATATTTTTACTGAACTGATATTATTTTTACTTAACTGGCCTTATTTTTACTTAACTGAAATTGTTTTTACTTAATATTATTTTTTTAAGGTGAAATGAACAGGGCCTAAGTCTGATGAAACACTATTTGGAAAAATTAAGTGTGTGCGAATCACTTAGAAATATTTCGAAAATTGTGTTATTTTCAAAAAATAGATTTTTTTTTCTTTTTTTTGAAACAAGGTAAGATTTCATTAAAAAAAAAAATCAAGTTACATCAAAAAATAGAATTTTAATAACGTAATTTAGATAGGATATAAATATGGGTGAATGTAAAAATAGATAAAAAGATTAATCAATAAAAAAAAACACACACACACAAATTTTTATATGTGGTTGGGGTTACTTATTTTGCGGTTACTAATTTTGGGGTTACTCGGTCGGTCAGAGGTTATATATTCTCACACAGAAAACGCGCTAACCGACTTTGTAAACTCAAAATTAAGTAACCCTTGACCGATTAAGTAACCTCTAAATAAGTAAACCCTTGGATAAATAACCCCGACCACATGATGTGGCCAATCATAGAGAAAAAGTCATAAAGTTAAAGTAGTAGTACTTTATATAAGGTATTTACCAAAAATCAATGGCGGATCTTAAAATATTGGATTATTTCGTCTTTAAATTAAATAAAGGAAGAGTGCAGCATATAAGAAGCTAAAAGTGGAAAGAATAGACAATAAATAAACATTTACTACACCGATTTACTCGTGAATGTCGATAAATTCCCAACTTAATACTTAAAAAAAGAAATATATTACTTATATACAACCCTTAGGGCTGCATATAGCGGTACCCTTAAATAAATTGATTATAAAAAAATTAAGTCAATGTTTTAGAAAGACGTCAAAATAAAAAATGAGTCAAACATTGTAAAACAAATGGTCTTTATAAATTTATTTTCTACTTGAATTTTTGCATTCCCTCATTTCCAAAAAATTCATTATGATAATTTACTAGGAAAATAATGTAAATTTTTTAGTACAATAGCTTAACTTATTTTTGTACATGATTATATATATATATATATATATATATATATATATATATATATATATATATATATATATATATATATTACACAAATACGCAGTATATACAATATTGTCAAATTGAGGTTTTGGATAGAGTGAAAAATAAATGTTTAAAGAATATAAAGAAATGAGAAGTAGTAATAGCTATTATATATTAAAAGTTTGTTTTTTTTTTTTTTTTTTTTTTTAATAAAGATTGATCCATAAATAAAAAGTCATGCGAAATCTATAAAGAGATTTATATCTAATAAATACATGACAATTGAATAAAAAAAAATTTCCTTTCAGCAGAGCTACGATCGTTGTTGCAAATCGTACATTTTTCATACTCTCTTTCATATCGCTGTGATTTACAGTCTTCTTCGACAAGGGGTCTCTCGATCTGTTGTAGTCGTGAAGAAAATTTTCGTTTTATTCATCTGATTACAATCGAAGGATTAATCTCTTTTTCGATCCCGCACAAATCTTTACCCATGAAACAACTTGTACCATACTAAACACAAAAAACAAAACTACAACTAAAACAAAGCCCACTATAGGGACACTTAGTACACTCAAACCCACTATAGGGGTACTTAGAACCTTCAAAACGTGTAGTTTTATTGAATTTAATAACAAAAACATAAGGAAACTAATGAAAAAGGGTCGGAAATAGCTAAATTTTTGGGAAAATTTGGCTATTTCCGGCCTATGAAACACTTTTTTTTTAAAAAAAAAACCCTAGAGAGAAAAAAGAGAGGAGACGGATAGGTTTTTTTTTTTTAAAACCGGGAAAAGTGATATTCATTATCTTGTTGGTTTACTAAATAATCAATAATGCAAATATGCAATAGGTTAAACTGTTGTTTTTTGAGATATGTTTTACTAATTTTTTACTAGCATTATTTGTATGACATATAGTATGACTTTTAAACTGAAAAAACTATAGTGATACTGAACAATTAAATTAGCTTTAAAATACTTTAAATAAAAAATTTAATAAAATTTAGGAAGCTACACCTACATACACCTATATAACAAGAAACTGAAAATCTTGAATGAATTACATTTTTTTCCAACTCTTCCCAAAAACCTCTATACACTCATATCCTTAAGCTTACGTAGGTACAACTAATTTTCCCCTCTTTTCATTGAGATTTATATTATGTTCTTGTTTTGTTTCTGTTTTTAATATATTATTAGATTTTTAATTTGACTTAGCTTGCAGAAAACAGGAAGACTAGTTAATTATTTACCTGGAGATTTAAAATGGAAGGATGCCGACGAGTAAGTCTTGTTTCATTTTGTTGGATACTTTAGATTTTTATTAGTTTCTAAGAAAGTTTTTCTTCCTTATTTTGCACTTTATAGTCATGTTAATAGTGTAATTTGAATCACCAACGGTATAATCAAGACCGAAAAGTATATTATTGTTGATGATCTTTTGCTCAATATATGTGAAATGGTTGATGTTTTCCAATTTCCATTTAATTAGTTTTCTTCTGTTAGAAGCTTTCTGTTTATAACGTTGAACCAAAATACAAATAAATAAATTGGGTGTCCAGCCTTTGCAAACAGTCATTGATACTTATTTTTGTATAACCACCATCACTTCTCTCATCTCTTTCCTCTATATCAGCAACAACATAAAACATAGGATGCTTATTATCTCGTATTATGATATAGTTGTGACTAAACGTATTCCGTTTCTTGTTAGTTGAATTAGTTAGTTTGATATTTCACACGCCAACACATAACTTTAATTTGGTTATTAATATAGTAACTACTTTCTTAAAACTCATATACTACCTCCGTTTCTGAAAGTTCGACTCACTTATTATTCATGTGGTCAAAATAAAATAACTTTGACCATATTTTATAAGCTATACAATATAAATAAATTAGCATGTGAAATCATATTAGATTCCCCTAATTATTAATAATCTAAATATCAACTTTTTACAAATTTCACTTATACACAACCAGATTTATTCATGACAAAAAATGTTCATTGCAGGCCGCGCAATTGCAAAGTGAGTCGAACTTTCAGAAATGGAGGGAGTATTTATATATACTACGTATTTAAATATAAATACTATGTATTGTATAAATTATAGAAGTTGATATTTGGAATACTAAGTAAATAGAAATACTACATTAGGAATTCCCCTCGTGAGGAGGACTTTTTAATGTTTATTTTTCTTACATTTAAAAAAAAAAAAAAAAAATTTAAATGAATTGATGAAATGTTACTATATAATTATTTTTTTTATATACAAAATTGCTAAGATAATTGTGTAAAATCAAGGCCCCTCGCATTTTATTTGTTGTAATATAACTAGAATGATACTTCAAGCGGATTGATTTGGTCTGTTCGGAAGCTTCTGAGTTCTTATAGATCATACTGTCTTAGGATTTTGAAACGCTCATCTTATTTCTACGAGAATTTTTTAAGTGTCAAAAATATGATTATATGAGTTAATATGCAAATAATTCAAGAGAATACGTATATTACCCAACTGACCAAAACGATATTTCAACCCATTAATTATACAGTAAATTACATTCACCGCTATGTTGTTGCGGAAAAGTCATTATATTCTCATTATTTTTAAAAAATATACAATGATTCTCAGACTTTATTTGGTTGCACATTTGTAATGGGGGTAATACAAATTTATAGGAAGTGCATTTATGAGTTGTTTGGTTAACACTTATGTGGGAAGTGGAAATTACTTGGAAAATGAGAATTCCTACAAAATATAGGAATTTAATTACCCCACTATATCTTGATCAATCAATTTTTCCTTGTTTATTTTTGCATGAAATTACATTCTTACCCTTTTTTACCCCCTCTAAAATTGGAAAAGGTGGGATGAAATTACTTTCTTACCCTCTATAATTGGGAAAGGTTCTTATAATATATGAGAATTACATAATGTTAACCAACCAAATCATAGGAAGTATATTCATGAGAATTACAAATTCCTTTATGTCAACCAAACAAAATTATAACATTTATTTTCTATGAATTCTAATTTCTCATGAATTTTAATTGCATATGGGAATCTACTTCCCATATACAACAAACGAGACCTTAGTTCACGCAGGTAAAATCAAGTCTGATCAAGTGTTGCACAATTATTTTAAGTAGTTGGAGTTCAATAAAGTAGGAGTCCAATATGTTTAAAAAAAAAAAATAAAAAATATAGGAGTCCAATATTTTTTAACTAAGTACTCATTGCCTATTTTCGAAAGTTCTTAACACTTTTCAGTCAAGTCTCTATACAACAAAATTATCTTTTTTTTTATACATTTTTAGCAAGTACGGAGTATCTATCTTTTAATATAGACTTTACCTGTCTTATTACATGATAAATCAATATGTACACATTTTCACTCATTTTCTATCTTAACCCATAGTATAATATAATATGTTTTGTGTCCAATTTTTACTGGTTATAGCCAATTAGCCATGATTCTAAGCTATTAAAAATAACCTCAATCGAACCCTAATACGAAGTACTATAGACTATAGAGTATGTGCAAGACTACAAGAGTAAAGCACATCATAATGCATTGGCAAAATTATAGGTTGATATAGACCATGGGTTTTATATCGCTTAATGTTTATACATAGCAAATTGAAAGATAAACATGTAATTAATCTGACTATCCGAGCTCTATGAGTAAAATTAAAGATAGCCCTAATTTTGCTAGATGTTTTTTAGATAAAGTAATTTCTCTCTTCATTTTCTGATTTTTTAAAAACTTTTTCCCTTATGTTTCATATATATAGTTTGCGAAACGTAGTAAAGAAGATGAAAATAACACAGCCACCATCGACGTTAGTGGTGCCAATCTTGATACTACACTACCAGAAATCGCGTTAAAGGTACTCGACAAGAAGATCCTCTTGAATGTCTATTGTGAGAAACGAAAAGGGATTTTGACGACTATCATTGAAGAGCTAGAGAAGTATGATTTCAGTGTTGTTACTTTTAGCATGATTCCTATCGAGAATACGACCATGGATATTACCATCGTTGCACAGGTAATCATTCAGACTTTCTTCCATTTCCTTTTGTTACAAATTATTACCAATATCTTATCTATTAGTACAACGAACAACTAGACCATGTATTGTATAGGAAAAAAAATTATATTAATTAGTACTAGCTGTTTTCATAGTGTGAGAAAATCTAACATAGACAAAACTTTACACTTTTAATTTGATTTTGATTTATATATGCAGATGGAAAATGGTTTCAACCAGAATTTGAAAGATCTTACTAAAACTCTTCGCTTGGCTCTTGTTGTAGCTAGCCCTGAACACTAAGGACCATAAATAACACGGAAAATGTATGGTATAGGCAACAATGAAAGGTTGACGAACGATCTAAGATGTCTTTTACATCCAAATAATGTAACATAGTGGTTGAGACTTGAAAGTGTTACTATTTATATATAATATGTAACACTTTAGTGGATTATATATATGTATATATATATGTATATATACATATATATATATATGCGCTACATAAACTCGATCTTTTATAACACTTTTGAAAGTGTATGATGGAAACCTTTGACACGTTATCTTTAATCGTCTTAACTCTTAAGTATGTAATCTTTGAGTAATTAATGTAGCACTTGTTATATTGTTACTTTTCATTTCTTACATAACACTTTCTTTTTTTTTTTTTTTTTTTTATCTAAAACTGGTGGGGATGCGGTGTAGTAAATATGTTTGTTTGGGATAGCTGTTGATTAATCATGATAACACTATGCAAATTTTGCTCTATATAGAGCGAATGATTTATAATAAGCGTGATTTTGAGGAATGAGGAATAATAAGGCTACAATATTCAGGACATCAGGAAACTAATTAATAAAAATGCTGCAAATGGCAAACCATGAGCTACTATTTTTCAAAGAATCGCATGTTAAAATACCAATTGATTGACCTTTTAGCTTGCTAGTGCTTTTCAAAATATGAGCTATATTTGAATTATATATTTACAGGCATGCCTTTTGAAAAGAGTTAATACAAATACAAGGTATTGAAATTAACAAAAAGTTGCAGATGAGCAACTGATGTTTGGGAAGTTGCAAATTAAACAAGGTAGTGAAACAGGTGACCTTCCCAAATTATCTTGTACAATTGATCAACCGGTAAAAGTAAGCTAAAAAAAAAGAAAAAAAAAGAAATTAGATTGTCTGATAAAAATAAATGAAGGTATTGAAGTTTGGAATTCATTGCAAAAAAAAAAAAAAAAAAAAAAAAAAAATATAAATAAAATTCTAACACACTTAAAGCAAGACATAAAAAAACTAAAAATCTTAATTGCAAGTACACTAATCCTCCATTAAAGCAACTTGAGAGCTTTCTCTCCATTAAAGAAACCTTTTTCGATTAAGAATATGAATAGCAAAATTCTGCCATTGGTAATGGTATAAGCTAATAAATTAGTACAACCTGTCAAAAAAAAAAAAAAAAATAGTCAATTCACATTAGAAAAACCCTACATTGAATTAATAACACTAGGTCGTGAAATGGAAATTCAATCATCAACACTGAAGTTTGAAAGAGGTGATATTGACCAATTGTCCTAATATTGAGGGAGGAAATACAAGTTAATTTTTATGATTGACATAATATGTTAATTATGAAGGTAAAATTGACTTTTTCATCAATTATTTGGGATATTTTTAAAAATTTAATTATAGTGGCTTGCTTTTTTACCCTGTTAAATTAGTTCATCATCTTCCTTCCTCTTTCCCCTTTCCTAGGCTACTACTTTCTCTATCCAACCTTTTCTCTCCTCACTCCTCTAACTCAACAATGGTGCTGCAACTCCAAAATTTTTGACACTTCTTCATCACCACAATCATTGTCATCTCCCATCTCCTCTCTCTATGCCGCCGACATCACTTCAAAAACAAGTTCAATTGAGGGAGTTTCAATGGAGGGCATGGTCACTCCTACCTAATGTCACCTCCGTGTTCAAATAAAGGAAACGTTTTGACTTTTTACACTGTTCATTTAATTTACTTTGACTAATGTTTGTAATTTATATATAAAAATAAATATAGTGTTGTGGGTACTTGTAAGAATTATCCAAATGAATAGTTTATTAATATTCAATTGTTATAATTAAAGATATTATCAATCAAAGTATTACATTGACATACATGTACAAGAGAAATATTTCATTTATTTAAACAAGATCGGGGAAGGTAGGTGGAGATCAAGGAAGCTTCAATAGTTCAATGGTGTTGGTGTCAGGAAGCTTCAATGGTGGTCGAGATGGGGAAGCCTCAATGGTGGTCGAGGTCGAAAGTTTCAATGGTGGTCGAGGTCGGGGAAGCTTCAATGGAGGAAGAAGCAGGAAGCTTTTCAATGGAGGGAGTTTTAATGGTGGTGTCGGTGGAGTAACGACAGTCGTTATCTTCATTCATGAGGTGACGTCGAGTACTGTTCTTCAATAATGCAATAATGCCATTAGTTTGACGAATTTCGTCAATCATAAAGGTTAACCAAAGCTTACTCATATTGATCATCAAAGTTCAAAGTCCATAATTGGCTTTAGTGCTAATACCCCTCAAATTGCGCACATCTCCGACTCTTTCCCAAATTAGCTTCCCATTTTACAATGGAATGTTCTTGTTGATCTCGATTTCGCCGCCGTGGCAGAGGAGCGCGAGCTTAATCGACTGAATATCCTAGAAATTCTTCAAAGTATTTCCAACCCATTTCATATAACAACGCCACCTCCATTTTTTAGACATCTTGGTTACAAATGAACTTAAACACAGGTTTACTGAAAAAAAAAATTCTTCGTCCCAGTTGATAATTTCCCAGACTCTTCAATGGATTTCTACCATTTGTGCTGGTTAGTGGTTACTACTAAAATCACTATGACTATTTTTCATTTGGATTGAGATTGAATCAGCCTCAGAAACCATTGTCGCAAATCTCTGTAAAACAAGAAGACAATGACATAAAGATTTCGCATCAAAAATCTTAATTTGTAACACTATATGTTTAGAGAAAAAAATAAAAATAAAAATTAAAAAAATTTATGTTTTATAGAAGGAAAATACATATACCTAGCTAAACAAGTAATAATGACCAGAAATATTACCTCTGATCACCAGCTCAGTTTCTTATTTGTAACTTCTCAAATATTAGTACTCTCTCTATTTCGCAATAATCGCAACACTATATGTGGCACAAAGTTTTAGGAAATTAAAATTATAGGGTGGATACCAAAAGGCGAATTTTATAATATAAAGTATTGTTAGTTGGAATATATTTAATTATTAGTATGAGAGAGAAATAATAAATAAATAAAAAAGTAGTGTAAGTGGTTGGTAGGAGAGAGAAATGATAAAATAATAGTGGATCCTAACTAAATAAGGAAGTGTTGCAATTATTATGAAACGCATGTAAAAATAAAGGTATTGCGAATATTACGAAACGTAATGAGTACCTAATTTGCAACTTTTGTTAACTTAGTACCTTCCAGTTGTGTTAACTCCTTTTGAATAAGAATGGTGTATACAAAACAATACACATTTCAAAATTCATAGGTAAGTTGGTAATGTAAAAGTCAACCATCGGCTAGGCTTATTTTGTTGCTAATAACTATGAAACTAATACTACCTCCATTTTATATTATTTATAAGTTTGGGGGTATTATTTGTGAGATATAAAATATTTCAAAGTTGCAAATAATATGAAACGAAGGTAGTAAATAAGCACTCTCAGATTGATATTTTACACTATGTAACATAGTTAAAAGATAGCATGCATGTTAAGAATATTGATTCATTTCTTATTGGTCTTGTGTTTAAACCTTGTGATAAACAATTTTATTACCATTGAAAAATGTTTATAAATATAGAATGGATGATGTGACATGTAGTACATGAGAAAGGTGATGTTACGATGATGTGACATATTTCTAATACATATGAAGGGTGTCACGTGACACATATTAGAAACACTTTTTTTTTTTTGGAAGAAAAGCCCCAACGAGTGTTGATAATTTAGAGTGTCGGAGGAGCGCTTGTGCTTCTGAATCGCGCTCGCGCCAGCTAGGCGCGACCCGCGACAAAACCGCGCATAAACCGCGATGAGTTTCTGGAAATTCTGGAAAAGTTTGGAGGCGCGCCCGCGCCATGGCATGGCGCGACCCGCGCCTAAACCGCGCTAAAATCGCGTCAACTTTCTGGAAAATCAGAAAGTTGAGATTTCAGAAGAGGAGCGCCCGCTCCTACTATAGGAGCGCCCGCTCCTACTATAGGAGCGCCGCTCCTACTATAGGAGCGCCGCTCCACATTGAGGAGCGCCCGCGCCTCTTCACACGCGCCCGCGCTTCTTGCTGTTTTGCGGTTTTATACGACGGTTGATCCTATTATATAGGATGAAGTTGTTTCGAAAGAAATACAGAACTTTTTTCTCTGCAATTCTCCCTAAGTAAATTTCTCCATCTTTCTCTCAAAAAACTTGCAATCTTTTGTGAGAAATCTTCTTGATTTTAGTCTTTCTTGTGAATCATTTTATCATCAATTTGTTCTTAGTGCAAAGAACAATTGGGCTGACTTTTGTATCTCAAAGAGTATTTCCGGATCAAACCCAAGCACCATTGTGGGGGAAATTAAACTCTTTAGGAATGTATTCATACGCCTAAGTCAGTGTATCAAGGACTGAGACTTAAGTGGTCACCGATTTCTCATGTTCATGTTGGATATAATAGCTTGGAGTAGAGGCAAGTAACATATCTTTCACAACTAGTGTTTTCTTTGTGTTTTTCTGTATTACTTTGATAAATTGGTGTTTGGTTGTAATACATTGAATTGTATTTGGTTGTTTGTATAATTCATTATCAATTATACATAGTTAGGTTTTGTTCCCACAATTGTTAAAGTACTTCTTGTTCTAGAATTACTTGTGAACCTAACAATCTAAAGAGTTTAACTTTTATAAGTAATCAAGCATGTCTAGTGTGAAAGATTTGACCATAAATTTTGTGAAAAGAAGTTTGATGGTGTGGAGTTTCGGAGATGGAAGAAGAAGATGTACTTTCTTCTTACATCTTTGAAAGTAGCCTATGTCATTAGTACTCCAAGGCCTAGTGAACATGAGAAAGAATCCTTGGAAAATGTTCGGGAAATGTCAAAATGGGACAACGATGACTTTATTTGTCGTGGTCATATTTTGAATGGTATGGAAGATGATCTTTTTGATGTGTATCAAAATGTGGAGTCGGCTAAGGAGCTTTGGGAGTCCTTAGAAGGCAAATATATGGCTGAAGATGCTTCAAGTAAGAAGTTTTTAGTAAGTAATTTTAATAATTATAAGTTTGTTGATGGTCGATCCATAATGGACCAATTTCATGAATTACAACGAATCTATGGGAACTTAAAACAATATGGTATTTCTATGGATGAATTGTTTGTTGTTTCAAGTATAATTGACAAGTTGCCTGCTAGTTGGAAAAGTGTTAAGCATGAGCTTAAACACAAGAAAGAGGACATGTCTTTGTCCGAGTTGGCCACCCATCTTCAAGTTGAAGAAGGGATAAGAGCCATGGAAAGTGCTAAGGAGGGGAATCCTAGCTCATCTACCATTAATTTGGTAGAGGAAGGAAAAACTAGT